TGTCAGATAGAGCTAATAAGAAAAATCACAATGATTCATACGAAAGATGTGAGAGTTTATTCATCATATTAAGTGCATTTCTATTAAAAAAAAAAAATTGATTCACAAATATTAAACTCACCATGTACAGCTTTTCTGCATGAAATTGCATATTGATTTCAACAATAAACCTGTCAATACAATAAAGTAATGTTTATATTTTATACATAACGCTCTATAGTACTTTAAGTTAATAATAGAATTATATCAGATGGATATTGAAATCACGATTCATACGAAAGATGGTATTTTGTAAATCATCATTAAGTTAGAATTTTTAAACTATCACAATTATATCATAAACGTAATAACTTACCGTATATATAAATGCCAAGTATTTACATCGTCGTATTACTTAAATGACAGTCAAAGGTGCTATTGTTCTGTAATACAGAAATAAAACCATTATTCTCGATAATTAACACAGCATTTTGTAATAACTTTTAAGTGTTTATCAGTGGTAGTGACGAATTATAAGATATATCATGATTATTCAAAGCAATATACTCTTGGTATGCATCATAGAGAAACGTACTAAGTAACGGTAATTCAAGACTATTATGTACTTACTCAACAATGTATAATATAGCTTAAAGTTTTGCAACATTTAGAACATCTAAAAAACAAAACAAACTACATTATGTTTATATTCTTTATAATATAGTATATTCAAAATATGTATTTATAAATATCAGATAGGGACGAAAGACTTATAATATTGTCATCAAGAAATATCAGATGAACTATGGAATCATCATTATATATTTAAATTATTTATATATAGCATATAGATTTAAATCTATACCTTATGTATTCTTGATTGCACAATTATCCGTTTCTTCTTTAGTTATAACAGTTTATTCATTTTGCAATTTCAAATAAAATATCTTCATATAATTCATGATAATTTGTATATCTGAAGATAAAATACATTATAAATCTAAAAAATAAATAAAAGTAAAGATTATGATATTAAGAACAGTTCAGAACTGCAGGGATTTCATCATAAAATCAGAAATTGTATAGCTTCATCATTTGAATATAAAAAAATTACAAAAATAATGATGCATCTTTTATTATTTTATTAAAATCTAATTTCATTTATACTTACTACTAAAATAATAACATGCATTGTTTATTCTATTTCCATGTGATGCAACTCTTTGTGACCACTTTGTGATCTGTATCGAAGTATCAGTCATAGAGTCATTATTCTTTTAATTTTCTATAAAAAAATATATAAGTATTAAAAAACAAGATAAATTTAAAAAAGTTTGTTTATTTTCGATACAGAGAAAGTCAGATAGGAGCGAAAGACATTTATAAGCGTAGTCATCAAAGTATATCAGATGAACTATGGAATCATCACATAAATTTGCCTAATAAAACCTGTATTAAATAAATAATGAACGTGTTCATAGAACAATCAACTTACCACTTTTATTGTCAAATTTTCAAGATTTTTTGAATTTTGCTTGTACAAAGATTCTGGGAACATCAATGTTTTCTTTTAGATTCACAGTACGTCTCTGTACATAACCACAATCTACCGTTTGAAAACCAACAGACTCAAACAGACTTGCTACTTGTTCTGCAGAAAAATAATAGCTCCTGAAATCCAAAAAATTTTCATATCAGAACTAAACTTCATCTAACTTTATTAAATTATAAAACATGTAAATAGAAATTTAGAAACCTGGTCCCATCCTGACGCATGTAAAGATTCTCGCTTATCTTATGCCCAGGTTTAAACCGCAACTGTGCCATATCATATAACCCATAATCTCGAAAAAGTAATATTCCTCCATTGTCAAGAACATTGTACACATTTTGAACAACTCTAAATAAACAGTTTAAATAAGTAACAATGTAAAAAACTTTGTAATACATAGTCCTATCATAATCTCAGTCTTGCTTACAACATACTTGGAAAATTTATCAGGATGAATAGCTGATAGTACAAAGATAAGTGTTGCAATATCAATTGAACAGTCAATCTCAGAAAAACAATTTTCTACCGTAACATCAACTTGAAATGCTTTCATTGTTTCCGAGTCGAACAATTCTTGATCCTATAATAAAGCATCTATTATATAACACGTTGCTATACAAAATATTTCGAGTTGTACATTTAAAATATCTAATGTACCTTGAGCAATTCAATTGCTCGCGTGGATAAATCGCACGCAAATATCTTCCGAAATTTCAATCCGACTTTTATTAACGGATAAATGAAATTTCCAACTCCGCAGCCGACCTCGAGGAGGACATTTTGTTTTTCCTTCCCGCCTAAATCTAGCAACTCATCGAATTCACGCGTAGTCCAGTGTCTATCTTTGAAGAATCGCTTATCGTTTCGCTTATAAAACAAATCCCAATGTTTCTTTGCGTCTCTCTCAAGCTGATTCGCACGAAATTCGGAAACTAAACGACTATCTTGCGCTTTCATACGATCGATTTCGGCCGGAGTGAGATGCTTGGCCACGTGGCCCACGTTCGATGTATCTTTTTTTGTGGATTTATTCATTTTTCCCGGTAAATTATGTCACCAAAGCGAATAATTAATGTCACAAAGCAACATTTATTCTGTGCAACACGTCCAATCTACGTTCTCACGTAAAGTTTCCTCTGTCTCTTAAATATTTCCGCGTACTGTATAAAATTGTAACCTTACTTGCTGAGAGCAGACCCATCCTTTCCCGTTGAGGTGCCGACAGAAAATGGACGAGAAGCGAAGCGCGTTGTTCCGAGTGGCGTTGCTCAGCAGATGCAACGTTGCCGCACAACATTTGCGGAAACACGTGACTGCCACATACCTCGTGATTTCCTGCGCACAAATTTTGAATTGAAAGTACCGTAGATATTTAAAAACAAAGAGATATTTAAAAACACAAGACAGTATTTAAAATATCTAAAACTTAAATATATCTTGATAAGTTTATGTTTTAAAACACATACACAATCAGTTTTTTTATTTTAAGTTTAAGAATTAAAAGAATTTGCACAAACATAAGCAAATCTTTAAAGAAACATATTTATTTATTTAAAAATATCATTTTTTTAAATCACTTATGTATGTATTAATGTAATAATTTTTAACAATATTTAATTTAAAAAACTTAATTAATATCTAGATACTACATTAATATTTAGATATAAGATTAATAAATATTTATCAATATATGTTGAATGTTTTATACTGTTTGATTAAACTTAAAGTAGGTTTCTTTTGCGGTGTTAGTATGAATTTCGTATGAATTTCACGTGTACATACATATATATGTACACACATACACATACACAAACACAATTCAATTAATATGCAAAACTTGTAAGGAGGGAACAAATATTTTATGCCACCATAGCATTGGCTCATAATGACAAAGGGGGCTAAACGTGACTAAAATTCAGTCAACAAATTACATATCACTTATCGCGATATAAAACAAAAAATAGTTATGAATAACACAAACCCATGTTGAATATTAATGGGATATATATTCTCTCTCTCCATAAAGTGTGCTGTACAAACTGGTATAAATCACGTTCCGGTTTGTCACTTCACACACTTGTTTTCCACAATATTCAACGCATTTTACGATTTATAAAGAACCCATAATGTGAGAACGTGGTTGAAAGAAAATGAATCGATTGAGTAGTATGTAGGTCATTGCAGACCACAATTTTGTCGAGAGCTTCGCGGGAGGTAACAGCCATAGATTACCTGAATGGAATGAGAAACACGTTTTGCAATTCGCAGTCATTAATGCCCCGTGAAGTAACGTCATTTTACAGTTTTCAATGCGGTCATTCTTCATGGTCACTATACGTAAACTGTATTCTTTGCTTTGTATTATAAAAAAATGCATACAATTAAAATTGTATTTTTCACAGAACATGGTAAATATGTAAAGTATTTACAAAAGATTGCGTCAACAATTTATAAGATAATCTTTTTCTTTTATGCAAAACTTTTAATAAAAAGACACAAAAAAGAGCAAAAACTAGCAAGTATACGATTTAAAAAATTGATAGATATTACATATCTATATTCATGATTATCTTATTTATATAAACTATATGTGTGTATATGTGTGTAATAGAAATCTAATCTATTTAAGTGAACAATTTGTATCAAAGTCGTTGAACACATATGTAGCCAGTTAATGTTGTGAATATTGAATTTTCGTTCGCTAATGCATGTAATTTTATTTCGATGTTATTGTACGAAAGTTTGCCTCGCTAATTAGCAAATCATTAAAACCGGGTAAAGCTCGCTCTCGCACCGGTCGTCGTCGGAAAATGTGTGTTTCGCGCGGTTTACGTATACACACAGTGTGTGTGCATAATGATAAAAAATAATCCTCATTCCGAGGAAAGCTCTCGCGAGATTGAGCGCATTTCGGCCCTCACGAAAGCGATCAAGAGATTATCCGGTCTCCACCCGTTACCGCGCGTTATTACGCTCCAGCAGGCCCGCGCGCGATTTACGCAGTTTCAAATCCCACTAATGTTTCCATTAATGCCCGTTCCTCTTCTCTTGCACGGATGCTTTTTGGAATTTTTCTGCGGAATGAATTATTAAGATTAGCTGCTGTTGCTCGAGAATTTTCACACGTACGCCGGAAAGCGGTTAGTTCCTTTTATTGTATGTGTGTGTACGGTCAGAAGAATAAAAATAAATCTTTCAAGAGTAATGAAAAACTAATATTTAAAAGTTGAAATCTGAGAGAGAGAGAGAGAGAGAGAGAGAGAGAGAAAGAAAAAGAGAAGGAAAAAGAGAAAGAGAAAGAGAGAGAGAGAAAAAGAGATAGGGAAAGAGAAATTATTTGAATGAAGTTTTTATAGTATCAAATATAGTAAACAGTAAAATTTACACATAATTAATTTTCAAGGCTGATACAATTTATTTACAGTTTTACAAAAATACACATATGTACATTTTTACATAATAAAATAGGTATAACAGAAATATAGAGAAAATAATAATACCCGATAATAACATAATATTAATTATGTTAATTATTTTAGAAGAAAAAATGTTTGATCTTTTTATATCTAACAATTTAAAAAAAAAAAAAAAATCTCAGTTGGTGTTAAATTTCAAAGACGCCTCGATGACAATCGATGCATCTCAATTATTGCAATGTGATGCATGAGAGACGCGCACGTGATCGTATAGGCGCGGCGACGGAGTCACGAAGATGCCTCCTTGCCGTGCCTTTTCCATTCCGCCGAGGTAGGCACGGCCGAAGTATCGTATATACCGTTCCTCCTCGTAGGCATTCCAAGCGGGAATTCTCGAAAGCCAGTTGTGTTGTAGAAACCGCGGCGCGGCTCGCCGCTCGCCGGTACTTTCGACCGGTCGTAAAGTCGACGTTTCGCAGCTCCGCGCTGCTTTCAGTAATACGGAATTTCGCCCGGAAAGCGGACGCAAAACGTGTCGCAAACTATAATATTGACCAGCCAAACCCGGAAGAAGATCGACGGCTCCATCCGTAAAATTCTGGTGAGTTATGCGCTCATTTCTACCTGTCAGTTCGCCAACTGTTTGAGCAACGGTCAACTTCTGTTAGGAATGCATCTTTGAGGTTCAATAGAACTGTTGTTTGGCCTGTTCAATATTTGTACCATCGTTACACATGTCGGTTATTTAAGTAAAATTTCATAGTTACATCATTTTTCTAAACATTTTTTCCAACATTAATTTTCATTCGTCTAACGTTATATTATTTTTTCGAAAATACATACATTTTTTTGTGTCTATATATTTAAGAAACTAATCTTTGCTGTACATGTATGTACGTCCTTCGGAATATGTGAATTACACTGATGTTAAGTTTGGAATCTAGATCACACTTTAATCACGATGCCAATCAGTCCTCAGTCATCGTAGAAAATAGCCATTAAACGAATTACGAATGTTCTAATTTCGTCGTTCGTACGTCGAAGAATCGCGGGCACATATAAAAATCTCTTTCTTTGATGCAATCGGAACCGGAGAAATATTTCAACTCAATTTCATAGAGTTAAGTGACTTTTTTTAGACGATCAAGAAGAAATTGCATTGATATTGAGAAAACGATTTATTTTGGAATTATTCAATATTGATTGATTGTATCTATCGCATATCAAGTTTAACAATCAGGACATTTAATCATGAAACTTTGACATTTAATCATGATTTCGAAACATCTGTTTCATTGGCCTGTTTAACAACTTGTCATTGGATACGCCCGATATTTTTCGACGATTAACAAGTTTCGACGACTATTCAAAAGAAATTGTATCAAAATCCAATCAAACGTAGTAGTTTATTTTAGAGTGATTGCGCCAATCGATATCAGCCAATATCGATACATTTGAAGTGTATCATCCAAATTGGTTCTCTGAACAGTCCCGGCAATTTTTGACGAGAACCATTTCACCAATTGCCGCGCTCAGAAATTTTGTCGTTAGATACACGATATCGCGTTTGCGAAAACGCATCTCGCAGTTGACGAAAATCGAGAAAACTCTCAAACGTAATGATCAGATCCATTTGCATGAGCGATTCCTTTGTCTCGATTCCTCGAGCAGGGCGAGGCGCTCGCCGTTTCCGCTTAGGAACCTTTCGATTATCACTACTAGCGGACCGTGTCATCGCGAACGAGATGCTATTTCCGAGGATCGATATTATCCGCGCGTCAAGAATAATATTTTCTACGTCATTCGGCGAAGGCCGGCCGCGCGCCGACGGAGAAACCGAGAATGTATTCGTCGAGCAATAGAGCAAATCTGATATCGGCTGTGTGTGTGTACTCGCAATGCAATTAAGACTTAATTAAGCCGAAAAGACAAGACGGGGGCGTAGAATGACTCTCGCGGTGCAACACGCGCGCCTAATTCCAGGGTTGCTGCGTGCAATTTTTTTTTTTCCACGAGCGTGTGCGTTCGACTCGTTCTGTGCTCTACTTAACCGGCGATTTAATTTTCACTCGCGTCGCACTTACACGAGTTTTAACGGCGCAATTAAACTGCTCTCTCTCTGATCATCTTCACTGTTCGCAAATAACACACAACACGCATCCCGTCATTGTAGCTGTCATCCTTGTCGTTGGTTTTAGCAGACGGTCTATAATTCGCTATCTCCCGGAGACGCTTCTCTCGCCCGAGGTAAAAAAAACTCGCATTAGCCGATAACAACGAGTTTCTAAACGCCCCGAAACGAAACGAGATCGGTTTTTCTACTTGTTTCGAGAGATTAGTAGGAGAGAACGACGAACTCTCGGACAGCCGCGAGTTTTTTTTTTTCTTTTCGTCGAATTTCTCTCGGACAGATATATAATTGCGACTGTTTTAATGAAGGTTTAATTGTTTGTTTTTTTTTTCGCGATATTCTGATTGTTTCGTTTCTACGATATCCATTTCTGTAGAATGCAAACAATTAGAAATAATTATTTCAATAATTAGAGATGATAGTCAGATGTGATGTAAAAGTGAAAAGTGGCGCCTTCAGGTTTTTTTTTTTAGGCAGGTGCCGCTTTCGCCACGCCCTAATTACAGACGACGTAATACGTGAACTGGTCGCGAGATTTTGTATCTGCTATATAAGCCCGCAAGCGCGCTGCGCATCGATGCATGGATCGGATTTCACGATTATGCGCGATTAAACCCGCGTGTTCATGTAATAGCGAAACAAACAACAAAATTCTAATGTTGCGATAGAAGATTGATGTTGATACAAAAGATTTTGTTTCGCGCGAAAATTACATCCTATTAGAGCGAAATTAACGATAACCGGCTCGCACCTACCAGCAAACTTCGGAAATTCAGGTCGACTGAAATAATTGCCATGTCAAACAAATTCCGTCGGTAGAGAGAGCAATGTAACTTAAGAAAGTCAACCATTAGCGCGAACGTGCTTACTTCACTTGAACCATAAATTATTCACAATAGTATTGTGATTTGAATTAGGTGATTTATTGCGCTTAAATTAGACTTGCGCATAATGTTTCAACATCGCGCTCCGTAATTGAACCTTTGAACCGGGCAAACATAATTCCGAAAACCCGATCGCTTTTTCATTTCAACTTTATTCATTGAACAATTCCGTTTTCCACACAAATTTTCAGCGAGACACAGCGTCTCTTTTCACACAAATTCTCTCGGAGAGAATGTTTCCACAGAGAGAAAAAAAAAACATCAAAGAGATTCAAATTCGAAATTTGTTCCTTTTCTCACGAATCTCTGATTAGTTTTATCTGCATTTGTTTTTAACAAATGTAGATACTTTACGACTCGTCGTTCACAGTCTAACGGTCAAGAAGGCGCTTTCTCTAGCGATCGAAGAAGAAAACCCCGTCGCGCGCGCGGCCCGTACGTCCGCGCCGCCGGCGTTACCCGGATAGATGCACTTCCTTGTCGACAACTCGCGCGAAAGTAAGCGCGAGTCGGAATATCGAGAACGGCGAGTAGTAATATCGGTACGCGAAACAACTACATATTTTGCGAACGATCGCAATCCGCATTCCTGGACGAGCGCAACGTTCTCAGTCTTTCGGCTCACGGCGGGAAAAGTGCTTAGGCTTAAACTTTCTAAGCGGCAACGTTTCACGTTGCACCACATCGTGGTATTTATGTTCGGCGCGGGAAGAAAAAAAAAACATATTTACGATTCTCCCGGTTGCAAGAAGGAAAAGAGGGCCGTTCGAAAAAAAACCGAGTCGCGTCGACGCAACGCTGGCAGAACTCGCTTGTTCGCGCGATCATTAGTCGCTCGCTAATGCATGCAATTAGAACTTTTTGCGCGCCTACGAAATCCAGTTTTCTGCCCACATAGGTCGCTTAAATCAGTTTCGCGAATTATTTGGAAAAATTATTTGGAAAAAGTTTCTCGCGTGCACTCGAAGTCAGAAGGTACGAACGTTGCGCTCCGATGTATAATAACTTATCGTTAATTAACGCCGCCAGATATGTAACAAACCGTTTCGCTGTGCTTACATACGGAATGATTTCATTTCAATTCAGGAATAGCTCCGTTAATAATCGCGAAACAACAAGCAACAAGTGAAAAGGTTCGGTTGAATCCAGGCACGCGTGTACGCTTTCCAAATGTACAACGAGAACTTTATGCCGCGTGGTTTGTGAGTGCGTTTCCGATGCACAGTCTCGTGAAAACAAAATATCTACAAGTCTCGCAAATAACAATCCGCAATATTACGAGTGCAAATTGTTCGTAACAAATTGTCACGGTTCGAAGAAACACGTATAAGAAATATATTAGAACGTATTGTGAAAAATAATTATGTTGTTAAATTTTTTCAAGATTCTCTTGCAAAAAGTTGAGATGAATCTTTGCCAGAAGTTTATTTTGAAAGACTGAAAATTATGTGGCAGATCTTCGAATACCGAAACTACCGTTATCTGACGCGATTTGCTTTCTATCGGAAGTAGGTGTAAGATGAGAGAGTCGCGCGTGATGTCCAAATTGTCATGCAAATATTAAACAACGCACATGGTGGGGCCAACATTATTTACCTTTTACACACAGTCGTCCGCTCGCGGTCAACTGCAAGTACCGTTGCTTCGCGTTGTCCGGAAATTCTGATACACACACACACACACACACACACACACACACATACACAAATACAGCTCGTAACCGCGGATTACACGCTCTACGCCCGCGCACTTGTAAACAGAAGCTATAATTCTTACGATAATGGAGGAAGAAGAGAAGCAGCCAACTGAAGCCGCTAACTAGTGTCCACATTGCAGGAAATCGCATCGATACTTATTCGTGATTGACAATCGCTAGAAATAAATGATTAATATTAACGAGAGGATATATGCAACCAAGTAATTATTCAGAGAGAAACAACAGAGAATGCGTTTGTTTTGATCTATTATAAAAATTGATAAAAATAATCATAAAAAAAACTAATATGTATAAAAAAAATGTGTATTGAGTTCTTTGAAATTGCGGCCGTTCGCTTGTGTCCCGTTAAACTTCGGTCTCGTTTTTTGCTTGACATGAATGTTCTTTAATGGCGTAGTTCAACATTCTCTAGTGAGAGACAATGTGTGTCGAACGTAATAATAATGTGAAATAATTCTAAGATGTCACGCGCGGTTTAACTTTTTAACAATTTTAATTAAAAAAACGATAATATATTTGACCACGAAAAAGTGCTGTTATAAGACAATTGTTTATGATTAACAACTAAAAAATAAGAAAAACTTTCGAGATTGTTTAACTGCTATCGATCTTATTAACAAAACATAGAGCTATGCAAATTTGACGTGTTCGTGAAAAAATCACTGCTTTTAGTTTTACTCGGATTTGTGTCAAAGCGTTTCAAATGTATGTTTTCTGCTTTTTTGTCTCATTTGGCACCGTATCCCAAAAATAAAAAAAAAAAAATAAAAACTTTCAGAATATGCGTCTAAATCTGTTTTCATCAATCAAAGGTTAGATTTTCACCAAATGTGCACAAATCAAAGAATTGATTTCAAACACCAGCGAAAAAATACCGACATTGATTTTCAACGCTTTGTGATTGTTTTGTTTTAAACGCACCGCCTTTTGATTCAAACGCGATGCTACGCGGTGCAAATGAACGCGTGTGGATTTATCTCTGAACAACTCGTTTTCCCGCAGGTGCCGGTTCACGCACGTAATCGAAGGAAAAGCCCGTTAATTTCGTAGCGAGACGCACTCGCCAGCGAGAATAATTATTTGGCATACATTAGTCACAGAGAGCTCGAACGGAGAGCTCGCACTTCCTAAAATGCTTCGTTACCCTCGGCAAAATCGCGCGGTTTAACTGTTCCTACCGATCGTTAACTGCACAGAAATGCATCGCCGTGAGCAAGCCGATGATCGACGAAGCGATCAAGTTTAATTAGGTACCAAGTCGCATTAATTACTAAACAATAATCACTGATGCAACAACGCGGCGTTACTTGGACGTAACAAGCGTTGCGGTTTCTATCGCTTTGCCATATGAGCATTAGATAATGAGTCTCTTGAGAAATTAATACCGGATTTTGTGATATGTTTCAAATGGCGGTGTTGTAAAAGCAGCGCTTTTAACGCATTTAATTTCGCCGATGCTTCAGAAGAACCGCGGTGTTTTAGCATCTCGTGTTTAGCCCACAAAATTCCAGCATCCAGCTCGCGTTCTCAAGAACTCGGTTGCCCACAAGATTAAACGCCCCATATTCGACCAGATTTCATCGCGCTTCGTACTCGTTTGTTTGTTCATTAGAGTTGATTTTGTTGATTGATTTAGTTTGCTTGAATCTCTCTCTCTCCGACGCGGCGTTAAAGGGTTAAATAATTAACGAGCGTTAATTGCATGTGCAAACTGCTTCGTAGGAAGCCCGACGAAGCGCCTCAACGTATGCGCCGATAAGCTTTAATTTGCGCCAACACAAACCGCCGTTGCGCGCGCTTTGCTCGCTATCAAACGCTGCCATTAGAGGACACTGACGAGAGGAAAAAACGCGCGCGCGCGAGCGCTTGTTTGTATGCGGGAAGAAAGTCGGCGAGCACCTGATGAAGGAATGCGATGATTACCTCGAAGTAATAGGCGGGCTTGATGAATGTACGGTCGCTTGTTTTTTATCCAATATAACGGGCGGATATGCCGCTGCGTCGGTAAGCGAACGCGCACATACATATATATATATACGTTTGTGGTCGGTAACGTTTCATGTGTACGAACGTACAGTCGTATTAGCGATATACGCGAAAGGAAGATCGCTTCAACCGCGGCTAGTTGCGCATGCTGTCCCCTCGTGGGAGAGATACCCCCGCTTTCCCCCTCGAATACCACGATGTAACTTCCAGCATTCCAACTGGCGCACGTCTCACGACGGGTACGGCACTGGCGATTAATTGAGATGACATAGCCGCTTATTAGCATGGCGTTGCAATATGCGGTCGCTCTGCTCTACACGGCGGAGTCAATATTCCTTTCGAATCCAATTACAACTCCAATTTCGAGACAGTTAACATCATTTTACCGTTAATTTGAATGACAAACACACTTTTTCTTCGTTTGTAAATTTGTTTTATCACAGAGAGAGAGAAAGAGAGAGAGAGAGAGAGAGAGAGAGAGAGAGAGAGAGAGAGAGAGAGAGAGAGAGAGAATGTAAATGAAAACAATGAACGTTAATCTTTGCACAGAGTGCCGTAGCTCTATTGTTGAATTTCTAACTTCCGATCGTTATTTTGTACAATTTCAGCCAATGTGAAAATATAATTAATTTATACGGCGCACGAAACACACATATACGTAGAAAGGTCGGTATGCATGTAAATTCTGCAAATTTTGTTACATTTGCAAGAGACACGCAGATTTATTTTTAAAAAATATATAATGTTCAATTTGATAGCCATTATGGCGTAACGAATTGTTTATTAAATTACTCTCGTGGTTCGCAATTAGAATAATCAACGTGATTCCCGCTTTGGGAATATGCAAGGACAAATGTCATACCTATATTCAGACATGCCTACATATATATATCTGCAGTTGCAAGTTGAGAATACTTAGCGAAATAATTACGTAGGAATATCTCATGGTCGTGAACAAACACATATTGTATTTCCGTTCTGTTTTAATGAGCTTAGAAAAATCTACTTGAAATACAAATGGCTATCAAAAGTTGATCCTTAAAAAGTAATAAAAAGACACAATAAAAGTTTACATCTTAATTAAATGACAAAGTAAATAAATTTTCGACGCCTCATTGTTAAATCCTGAAAAATAAATACACAATAATTGCTGTCATAAAAATATTCTATTAATAAATCAGATCCGGAGCGAAAGAGAGACAGAAAGAAAGAGAGAGAAAGAGAGAGAAGGTGAGAAAGAATGAGAATAATTATGGGTGAAATTTGCGATGAAAGATAATGAAACATAAAATGACTTATCACAGGTGTGACGACCTCAATCGATCAGAGCGGCGCTCTGATGCTTGAATTCCAGAGAAAGTTAACCATAATAACTCAGAAAGAAGAGAAAGAGAAAAGAGACGGAGAAAGAGAGAAAGAAAGAGAGAGAGAGAGAGAGAGAGAGAGAGAGGGAGAGGGAGAGAGAGAGATAAATAGAGAGATATGCATACTATATACGCGCACGTGCATTAAATGCTCACGCGAGGCCGCAGGTGCACGCGGCTATAAATGTCGCAGCTTCTGTGCGCGGCGCGACGCGTTGAAACGTATTAATTTCATCGCGGCGCAGCTCCCGAGTGACAAACGCTAATTTATCACACGTTGCCCTTTGCCAAATGATTCGTTATGACCGGCGAAAATCTCGCGTTGCAATCAAGATCCGTTATCGAGGTATATACGGCGCAGGAAGTCGCGCTTCTAAATTCGCGCGTCTGTCACTTCCTATAGTCTATAATAATTTTTTTTTTTTTTACAAAGTTGCGTCGCATCAGCTTCTTGACGCGTGACGGATACGGAAAATTGCGCTTAAGCCGGCGCGATCGGAAGAAAGTGTCGCAAGAAATAACCGAATGGTTTTTACGCACATACATTTCGAGCGCCTGAGCTGACGTTTCTCCGGCGTGTAAAGTTGCTTTCTACGTCGTTTTTCGTACATTTCCAACAGTTTTGCACGCCTGCGACTGACGTTTGACGTGTGTGAGAATGACCGTGTAAATGATTACACGATTATTAAATCTTATATATTACGAAATGTGGATATACAGATACTTATTCTCGCTTATTGTTATCGAAGGTGTATATTTCTCACACAATAACGTTATCTTAACACGAGGTACTTAACATTATTGTCTTACGCAACAAACGATAGAGAGATAAAGAGCAAGAGGAATATCACAATGCAATTTTTCTTTTAATCTTTGCGTTCTTTATCTTTACTCAAACTTCAAAATGCGGACAGATGAAACATAAACACAGTAACGTTTCTCTTTATTTCGCCGGAAGAAACTTCAGAAATTCTAGAAATGTGGAAACGTATGCGAGAAAGCTTCTTGAGAACGCTGCCTTGCAATATGCGAGGCAAACATTGGTTTCACATCCCAAGCAACGCACATATCTCCGTTAACGTATATACATATATTTATGTCTGATATGTTTCGGACAATGCTCCTTGCGGAATGCATTCCTTCGCATGTACGCGACCGACGTGCGTTTTACGTGTTATCGATGAGAAAAAGAGATATGTATAATATACATATATATATATGTGTATATATATATTTGCTCTCCGAGAGAAATTCATACGAAGATACGCATCGCGTGGTTGTTTTATCCTCAGCGCGATCGATGAAGTTTATTTTACCTACATCACGTTATACACTCGCGCGCATTAATCCATCTCGATTCACGGTGCGTGCATCGATGCTTTTAACAGATACCGATCGGCGAGAAAGCCGCGCGCGCGCGATTCTTCGCGAAGAAACATTTCGCGCCACGCGGGAGAAACGCCCGTCCATGACGACCTGAAATACGAGCCGCGCCATTTAATCGATTCGGCACATTAGCGGTACATGGTTCCGCAGCCGCTATTAAATCAGTCGAGCGAGGAGAACGAACGCGCACGATTTTCATCGATTACCGGAATTTCCGTTCGTACGTCCCGAGGCTCCTACGGCCGAGAGCGATTTCCCGTCGTGGCGGAGCAAGGATTGCGGAAAATCGGCGGCTGACCTGGTGCACGGCCAAACCCAGATGCATTTTAGAAAGGCGAGTGATTCCTTACAAGCAAAAGTGACCAAACCCACCTCGCCGTTCACTTTTCATGAGGAAGCCGATTCTCTCGGTGCTTGCGCACTTTTTCTTTGAACTCGTCGTGTCTCTTTTTGACCGCGCCGTCCGCGCCGAACCGATTTTACTTTTTTCAAGCAAAAATCTCAAGTTTTTACGAACCGTTCTCAGCGCGTCTCTTCACTTCGAATTTTTCATCTGTATTTTTCTCGTTATATTCTCGTTATATAATATCAAAATAAGAGAGAGAAATTTTTATATATTTAGTTAGAGAAAACATACATATTATTATGGGCTATCCCCGCGGGCTATCTCAACATTTTGATATAAAATCACAGTGCTAAAAACTTTATGCAGGGAAATTCAAAAAGCAGTTTTTTCTCTGAAAAACATACGTGTAACAGTTTTAAAACAAAAAGTATGTACAATAATTATTTTTCTGCAAATTTTACATTTTTCTACAGAACGATAGATAGGTAGGTATATGTGTGTGTGTGTGTGCGTGTGTGTGCGCGCAGAATATCGATAAAACTCATTCCTTTGTTGAGTTGTTTTCGAGATCCGCAGTGAACCGTAGAATGCCGTAGATTAATTAAAAATGAATCCGCGGCTTTCAGCGATTAACAACGTCTCTCTTTTATTTCGCAGATTTGCCAGCCAGCCGGTGACAATGGATGTGGAAACCGGGGCCATTTTGGCCCTGCAGATATTGGCTCTGTGCTCGATAGTTGCGGCCCTTTTGGCCTACCTGATGCGACAATCCAGAAATGCCGCAGACGAGTACGAGTCGCGTTACAAACGTCACGTACTCGTTACCAGCTGTGATACATGCGTAGGCCTGCAGATCGCCCTTGCACTCTACGAGGCCGGTTACAAGGTAATAATGGGCCGCGTGGCTGCGCTATAAATTACCTGTGGCATAAACTTCATCATGCGTAATACGTACACCCAATTATGCCAACGACTCGATGTGTATTCCTCGCTTTGGTTGAATATAGGTATTCAAAAATCAAGCGAGAGAACCCGAAGCCGCGTTCGCGCGACAAATGCGCAAGGCTGCGCGAAGTAACGGTCGTTACTTCGCCGTTTTATTTTGCGTGGGAACTGTGCTCAATTTTTTTTCTTCGGTTATGCGCGTAAGTACCGCGTATATGGGAAACGCGAACGAGCAACCGTCAACAAGCAGTGTGTAATATGTATATATATATATATCGCAGTCAAGTAGATACTCGTTTTTCCTCGCAAGTTAAATGTTCAACTGGGTCGAAGCGATTATTTTGACGGCCTGTTAATCATCTGAAAGGTATGCATTTATTTGCGAGTGTTTTTTGCATCCGTCAACCCCGGGCAAAGAAAATATCGATCTTTATTTTCTTTCCACACGCGAAACAAGAAGCTGGATTAGTTTTGCGAACGGCGGTCAGCTCTGGACAATGTCGGTGTTAAAATGGATAAACGTCAGTCTCTTCTCGTTTACTCTTTCTGCGGTTTTGCGCAGTCCCGCAGCTAGAGTTAAGCGGTGCCGTGCGACGCGACGACAACCGTTGAAACGCAATATCCCGCGACCTTATGTCAGAATCCCTATTATCCCTTCGAGCGTGCAACATATTTCAGATTGTCGGAGTCCGGGCTCCAAATTAGTTTCCTCGTGTCAAGAGAGCGGAACATCGGTGAGCCCTTAAATCAGTCCTGCCGACAGTCTCTCGACAGGTATTCACGTATCCGTCGAGTATATCGTGTCACCGCTCGAGAGCCGTTTCATCCAAAGATTGCCAATGGGAGAGACTTGCCGAAGTCAGATTCTGCGCGAGTAATAACTCACGTCTTATATGAAAGCTCTGACTTCGAATATATATATATATATATATATATATATATATATAGCGATATTATAGCTTCTATTAGTTCTTTTGAAGAATGACAGTAACGCACGTAGAACCGCAATTCCGTCTCTCACGTGCGGTCCATCTGCTCGGAAATGTTCGTTCAATAACTCGACTTTGTCGATTTTTTTCTGAGTTCTGGTAATAAGACTAGTCTTTTTTTTTTTTTTAATAATTCGCAACATCTTTTTGACATTTAGCTTGACATTTCGTCGAAATGTCACGTTGAGTTTGTTAATTAGCAGCTTGTCGTCAATCCGTTTACGTCAATCATCACGTGTGTGTGTGTGTGTGTGTGTGTGTGTGTGTGTGTGTGCGTGCGTGCGTGTGATAGGTAATCTCTCTTTAACGTTTTAATTAGAATTGCACGATAAAATTTTCGTGATGTACAAAGGTAAAATTAATAGAGGTCGTTCGCTTACAAATTCCAATTGCGGTCCGATTATTGTTCCGTGTGTTAGAAATGCGAGAGTTGTGGATTACCGATTACCTTTTGTGTAGAACAGCCCGCGTCAAAGAGGATCGTTGCTGCTTTATACATAGAAGCGGTTAAACGGTTTTTAATTGACTTCTTTCCTTCTCTCTCTCTCTCTCTCTCTCAACAACTCTTTGATAACACAACTATAACTCCAAGAGACAAAAAAATGGATATTGTAGATACTATTAAAAATCTTATCTAACATAGAAAAAACTATTAAAGCGTATTTTTAAATAAATTCCGCTTGTAAAATTACGAGATCAAAAATAAATGTAGAGATAACGTTGAAAAAATGAAAGCTTTTTCTCTTTATTTAAGATCCAGTTCATTGATCGAGAACCAGTATACATGTGTCATTTAACACGATGTATCAGCGTCAAAGCACAACGCGATATTGAGCGGTGTCGATATAGTGTGTAATGGACTAGCACGTGGGTTCGCGGTGAGTGGCGGCGGGCTTTCAAAACACATACCGTAACGTCGTTTCCTCCTGCGACAGGTGTTCGCAGGTTTGCTGGACCCGGCAGGCGGTTCGCCGTCGGTGAAAATCCTCAAGGCGGTCGAGCTGGAGCGGCTGAAGGAGGTCGAGGCCGGAGGTGCGAACGACGAGGATCCTCAACAGACGGAAGGTGGACGTGCTCGCGGCCAAATCGTGCCATTGGAGCTGGACCCGACAAGAGAGGACAGTTTGCACGCTTGTTTGGACGCCGTCAGGGCGAAACTTCCGGCCGGCGAAGACGGCAAGACAATTTATTCACTCTCTATCACGGTTAACCATTGAGCCAAAGTTTAGCCAAAAGATAACCGCCGTCTTCCTAAAGAACGTAGACAAGACTGACCGCGCACAAGATAGACATTAAACTATAGCTAACTTTCAATGAAAGAGGAGCGAAACTAAATATAGATGTTACTACAAGATTGAAATTTTCATAGAGATTAGAATTTAATATAATACATTGTTTTAATATCTTGATTAATCGCAAAAAGAAACTTTTTGTTTGATGTCGAGACAAAATAAGACAAAAAGAAAATTAATTTCAAAATTCCCATGACATTTATCTCTCTCGGAATATGTAAATCGATACCGAGGGAAATCACAGAAAGTTTTGATATGTTTAAATGGGGGAATATATAGATCCGAAAAGAGATTTCACGAAGTGAAATCCAGTATCACTTACCATTAAACGTTTGAAAAGGGTTTCCAAAATTATCCCGTTGTGTCAAAGAGATATTAGTCACTGTCGGATTGCCACGTAAACGCTGCATGTAAATGATTCCTTTACGCATGAGCGGCGTAGAAAGTGCATCGCCTATGTAAACAATGCTTTTAATAGCTATGCTTTCTCTGACGTTGTTACGCTGTAGTTTATAATTACTTCCTTCATGTTACGCTGCTGGCGCGTTATATATCAAAGCTATTCTGGCATTAAAGTCATCTCTCTCAAATAATAATTTGTACTCTTTTGTTGAAAGTATTTTAGTTGTTAAATAACGTAACGTGTGTTACATTGTAGATGTATGTGTTCCCGAACAATTGCAATTTAATTTTTCCGTAATTTTTATAAATAACTTGCAAATTTCTATGAAATTCAATTATACGCTTTTACACAACACAGTTTTATCAATGCTACTTGTTTGTTATTCGCGAGAAAGAAGAACGGTAATACGAACACCGTGAAATTTATACACCGTGAAATTTATATATCTTATCTTCGATAAAAATTCACATAGAACCGGATGATGTTTTACATCAGATACGGAATCAATGCCACGGTTTTTATAATAATAATTTCGTTCAGGTTATAATACTCGACAAAGTGACTCAAGGTTTTATCGATGTCGACATGAGCAAATGTTGGTGAAATCACCACCGTGCGTTCGGCAAAAGTGTTTGCAAATAAAATTTCGTGATAAATAACTTCGCGAAAACAACTGCTCAAAAACATACACGCAAGATTGCGTTATACAATATTTATATAAATACTACTTCAATAATTTTTGCGTTTTTACTTTTTTTTTTTTTTCAACGCAAGTGCAGCGCAAAAGCTGCGCCAAATGAATATTTGCGCTCGCACGAAGACCTGTCACAATAATATATCATGCGTGGTATTCCTGCGCGGCACAATGGAAGTTTGCATAATGGGAAAACACGCGAAGAAGCAACATACTTCCACATCACACAGAATAAATAAGCGTAAATGTCACATTTGTAGATTTCCGCTATTCGTTATGTCCGGGCGAGCTGTCGGGCGAAAATGAAAAGGAGGCATCGAGTGTATTAATGGAATGCCGTCTAGAATTATATTTTTCATTTTATAAATTATATTTCCGATTGAAGACGCATATAAACTTTTAAAAATGTTCGATATCTCGTTGAAAAGCGTAATTACTGCGATATCTCGCAGCATTATTTGCTCGCGCGCAATTGCCCGCTATTCGCTGTACACAACGTTCTCATTAAAGACGCGAGATCAATATACTCAGGAGCGCGGAATTCCAAGTTTCGATAAAATAAACTTCCATTCTACCACTTTTCTTTCGCGCACAAAGACGATCGTTCTAAAGTACGCTGAAGTGCTAAACTTTACTCAATTGCAGGTCTTTGGGCAGTCGTGCACACCGGCGGCTTGGTCTTGCCGGGCGTTATAGAGAAACAATCCAGCTCAATGTGGGAATCCATGTTACGTCATAATCTGGTAGCTCCTCTGAGAACAGCCAGAGTGTTCATCCCTCTTTTGCGCATCAAGAGAGGTTCGTTGAGCGTAGAAGCATCTTGAAGACACTATCATTTGCTTAAATCCATTTACGTAGAAGAAGATCATTTTCGAACACAAATTGAGACGAAAGTTTTGCCGAATATTATTGTAACTTTAATTTGCGTCGATATTGTTTTCTTACGAAAACTGACACTTTTTTCTTCATAAAGTATTCAGCAATTTAAAGATTATTTAAAATAAAAAACTTGTTCGAATTTATAAAAAGGACAAAAACTAGGTTTCGCGAACGTTAATGAGAAGTTGGCTCGCTTTTCGAGCAAACGAGTGCCTTTGAATGCTGCGGCAATGCACAATGGCACGTTTGTGACTTCGCACAAAGTAAAGTACTCGACGCGGCGACGGCGGCTGCGGCCGATTATTAACCGGCAGCAAAATCGTACTCGTTCCTTTAAGCGGCTTATATTGAAAATCTCTGTTCTCAAGGCCGCATCATACTTTTGGGTGACTCGGAGACGAACAGCAAAACGGGCTCCGGACTGGTGGCGTTCAGCGCGTCCCGCAGAGCTGTGGAAGGTGCCGCCGAGGCGTTAAAAAGCGAATTACATTCCTCAGGCGTCGACGTCGTACTTCTCAAACCACCACCCGTGAATCCCCTCGTTCTTTATGCATCGCCCGTTTTGAAGACGTAAGACCCTGCCAAGTATCAGTTTATGACGGCTTGTGTTTCCACGGGCTAACAAAGACGTTAAGTCGACTACAGGCAGTCAGGCGTCGCGCCCGAAACTACTGCTGAAAGTTTTGCGAGCCGCTTCACGGTTTCGCAATTCGCGTTCTCTCTCTCTCTCTCTCTCTCTCTCTCTCTCTCTCTTTCTCTCGCAATGCATTTCTTGTTAACTAATACTAATTCCGATTTCAGAAATTGGGTCGTTGTTTCGAAGATGGTATCTGATGGTATCTGGTAAATTGTTCTTCAATTATACATTTATTCTTGGAAGAATAAAAAGCAGAAAGAAAAGAATATCATTTGTATTATCCAAGTTTGATAGATGAAAAAATATGTACTTTACTATGAAACAAAAAAAAAAAAATGTAATTTACTTATAATTCGAAGAACTAACAAGCAATTGCGTCAGAAACCTTTCATATCTTCTTAATCTATCTGTCTATCTATCTGTTACTACATCGATAATTATCATTGCTTTGGAAGGTCTCGGTTTATGAGCAGTGCTTAATTATTTGCAGAGCCGACGTTGAGTCGGGCGTAACAGCCACGGAAGCGACGTGGACCGCTCCGCTATCGATTCACTCTATACAGAACGCTCTGATTCCTGCGATTACGACGTCGTGTCCTCCGAGCGTCTACGATATGTCCGTCAAGCCGAGGATCTTCTGTCGATAAGCTCGTTGCCGGTAGAGATTACAAGATGCAATAACACATCGCGAACTCCTCAAGTCGATACGATACGGTGTGGCGCGGCACTACTACACGTTTTGAAACAATGGCGCGTGGAGAATGTATTACACGCGCATGTCCTTTCGCGGTATCATTTGCGCTGACACGTCATTTTACGTGCCCTAAGGCGCCACACACAAACGGGATTCTTCTTTTCTCATTTCACGGTGGGCAATATGCATTCTGCGTATACGAATGTTGTCATTCTCACACGTGCTGCTTGTGTTCCAAGCAGTATCAATTTTGAATTCTCGTTTTTTATTTTTTCATGTTATGCATCGCGTCTGCCGCGCCACGTAGCGCATCAATTCGAGGAAATATATTAACAAAACAGCCAGTAATCATTTATCGCAAGTAAAATTGTGTTTGCACAACGACATTTCATTTGCGAAAAATTATGTTTATATAATAAATCTGTAAAACTTGTGCAAATACATACGCATTTATTTTGTTTACGCGTGAATAATTAAAAAACTATATATATATAATACTAAGAGAAATATAATTTATGGTATATAAAACTAAAAGAGAGTAACACGTGTATAATATATCTTCCCTCGGCGATTGCATATATAATATCGATAACATTTATGTATATATATATATATATTTGTCGAAATGTGTATAAAATATATAATATAGACACTTTTACAGCAATATGTAATGTTTCAATTACCCGTTGTTTTCTTCGTGAGGAAAATTTCAAAATGTGGTCGTAATTAATGCTCTTTAGTTTTAAACAGTTTTAGCACGCTTTTAGTAAAACTTACCAATTTTCCGCAAGAAAATTGTTTAGTCGGTAAATGCGAGTTGCTGCTTAACTCAAAATTACGTTTGTATGGTTAAGCTGCAGTTACCTATAACTCTCGACTGGAGCACTTAACAAATACCAGGCGCGCATATACAGTTTATGTAGAAGTAGAATGTGTTTGTGAAAGATACATGTGTGTTCGTGCGTATACGCAACACTTTTCCTAATTGTATTTTTTTTTTTTAGAATTATACAGAGAATATTATGCGAGCACTCAACACTCCTTTATTTTCAACGATTATATAATATTTTCGACGTTTTAATTAACTATCGCCGTAAAATATAAGTTCAATTTTTATAACATCAGTTGAAGAATTGAATTAAGTCAATTGACAAATTATTAATTGAAAAATATCCTTTTTAAACTAAAATATTATTTAATTTACGCTGTGTTTTAAAAATGTTTGCCGACATTACAGTCTGTCCTGTGCAGTTATAATTATTTTGTTCGCAATAGTAATTAGAAAGCTGCATATGTATTACCTTTCGCGCGCGGTGGTAGTAGTTGTAGTTTCCATCACGAGAGATTCACGGATAACTCGGCAGACTGCGTCGTGAATAATTAATTTGTATGTAACTTGATGCGCAATGTGAATAATAAAATTTCGAAGTAAGATTAACGCGGCGCGTAATGCTCTATGCATATACATTAGATGTAAGTATAATATCGCGCGGTCGCGTAGCGAGTGCAGCGCTGGAAATTAACTGATCTGCCAGTCGCGCTCTCCGAGTTTCGCACGCCGGGGTTGGGAAAGCGACGGCATTGGAAAATCGCGCGGGACAAGAACGGACTGCTGGTTAATCGAAAAATTCGCTTTCTCCGTGAGAACAAAAATCTGCCGGTCCGATCAACGACTGCGATTGCGTCACTTTTACGACAGACAAAAGAAAAACGTTAATTGAAACTATTTCAACAATTGACGCACGTAATGAGTAATTTCGCAAAATTTCGTCAATCGCGCGCACTTATAGAAGCGTAAAAAAAAAAGTGTTTATAACACTTGCAATTCGCGAGAACGCAGTCACGGTCATTTGAATCACAGAAATTGCCGCCAAGTTTGATAAAGATGCTTGAAAAAATCATCACTTTGATCAAAGATAAGATCGCTGTTAATCATTATGTTGAAGCAGATGTTTGATATCGGTAGATTACTGTTCTATCAATGTGCTGCTACCGTGTATCAGGCGAGTGCGCATCGAACGGAAATTCACGCAATAAATTTCCAATAAACAACATTACATCGCACCCGGTATTTGGCTATCGACACACAACTTGGCTCTGCACTGCTTTCGGAACTGATTTTCACTTAATAGACAATTTCAAACTCCAAACTCTAAATCCTGATAAATCCAACGGAAACGTAGTGTTAAAAACCCTGTGAAAATCACGTACATTTATTATTTCCGAGCCATTACTTTTTCGGTTACTAAAGCGCGACGCCAATTCGTGACTGGCAGTGACAAAGTTTGGGGTCGTACCGCGTCGTTGTTTCGAAGAATTATTATCATTTCTACGACCCGACTGGTCACACCTCTCTCGCCGCGCGGTATCAAGACCGACCGCAAGGTATGACACGAATTAATGGCTAAAAGGGTGAGTTTTTTGCTCACTTCCCGGGATGGTCGTTCCTATAAAGCGATCTCGTTTCTTCGGTAGTTGGAGCAGTCCATTGGTGGTTTCCGTAAAGGAAGAAACATGGTCTTTGTAAAGGTAAACTAAAGTCGATAGCACAGTATTCGATACCGTAAGTCGATATGCCGAAGAGCGCGAGTGGTAGTATTGTTGTTAAAGCCGCTCTGACGGGACGCGAAAATTTGTGTACTACTATGAGTAGGTCAGTTTATAGTGCACGTCGCTTATAATTTGCGCGTAGTATTCTGCGAGCGAAAAATAGTGAAAGATGTGTTGCGTCTTTTTTTTTTTTTTTTTTGTGAGAGCGTTCCGTGATATAATAATCACGTATCTCGCATTACCACAGCGAAAGTATTACCATGGGAAACGTTATACAATACGCGATAGAGAGAGTAGCTTCCGCGCGAAATAATTTTCATTCTGTGGTCGTGCGCTAAAAATAGAAGTGTGTTTATAGACACACATCTTCTTTTGTATTTTATTTGACAAATTAAATAACAGCGAGAAAGAAAGAGAGAGAGAGAGAGAGAGAGAGAGAAGATCATATTAAAACTGATACGATCAATGGAAAAATTAATATCTCGCGATATTAGATAAAAGGCGAACTGGGAAAAACGTTTTATATCTCAATCTGATAAAATTATGCTAAAAGCTACTAACGTCAAATAGCCGGGAACTTCGTGAATGGTACATTTTATAGCGAACGGTTACTTTATCACCAGCGGATCTGAAGCTCTCTCTTTGATATCCAATTTGCGGGAAGTGGACGGATATTAACCTTTCATGATCCGGTCAGGCAAAGAACTACACGTATAACGTGAAGAATAACACCGGAGGGTTCTCAGCACTTTTACCTGGCCGCGGGCGACGACGCGGATCCTATGCCGTTGGTCTCTGTCCGATGGGCGATCGATCCAATTTCAAGTTTCGTACGTTTCCCGCCGGGCGAAAGGGCGGACCGCCGCCGCAGAGCTTCCATAAAACGAATCGCCGCGCGCGGAGCCACGCCGCGCCGAACAAAGTATCACACAGTCGTGGCCGTAAAGTACGAGTGCGGCGTGTTTCGGAGGTCTTTATGTGGGCGGTAAAAGCGTCTCGGCACAAGTCCGTTCTGGCGCACATATTCCGACCGGAAGAATAATGGCGAGCCTTTTTTTTTTTTTTTCATCCCCGACAATTTTCTATTACACGCCGCGGCAGCGATGAAAATGAATTCCGCCAACCACCCTCTCACGGACACCCTGGTTTCTTTCGATTAGATTTAAGGGATTAACTTTTCCAATTATTCGCGGCCACCAATTTACCTTTAACAGCAAACGGTACTTCACACGAGCGGAGTTGTCGCTTACACGACGACGACGACGACTCGAAATGTCCTTCCTCGTTTTGCAGGAATTGATTGTCTGCGTCGTCTTCGTCGCTGTCGTTGTTAAGGGCTTTCCCAGAACGTACAAGGAAGACACGACGTTGGGTGAGTGTCTCTCGCTTAATTCATGAAATCGGTTACTCAAGCGTCTAATTGCGCGCGTTGAGAATTTCCCGCGCAATTATTCTCGGACTTCCTTTCGTAATTTAAAAACAAAGTAACTTAAATATATAAGTACCCCGCTCGGTATTTTAAAAACTTATTCGACAAATTTGATAATGTAACTGTTTCGTGTGATCAATTTCGGAAAATCAAAGATAACGATGATGAGTCGCCGACTGTCGCTGACGATATAGAACGGAACGGACATGGCGAAGATCATAGTCATGCGTACTCGTATCATCATTTTTCCGGACCGGTGTTCGGTCATCACGAGGAGATATCGTGGAAAGATAAGCACGGTCATCATCATCACGACTACAAAGCCCATCCCAAATACAAGTACGCATATGGCGTGGACGATCATCACACCAAGGACCATCACGGACAGAAAGAGCACCGTGACGGTCTGTATATAGCAATATTACATCGAGATATTAAGTATTAGAATAATATTTCCAATCTTTTTATCACTACGCATGAAATATAATTTTTTATTTTTTTTTTTTTATAGATATGTAAATATTATGCGATATTTTACATTCTTGTGATTTTAAAGTAAATTTAAAAAAGTAATTTTTCTTTCTATATTTTTTAAAATATTGTTTTATACTTGAAAATGAAGAAAAATGATGTTGGAAATAATTAATTGAAAATATTGATTCAAGAAAAATGAATCCCTTTATTCCGCTGTGTTACGTACCTATGCATCAATTTCTTTTATGACACCGAAGATGCGATAAAGTATCGACTCGGAAAACTCAGATGTATCGCACTGATCCAGCGACCGAGCGCAACTTGATCTCGCGCTCTTAATTAGAATCTTGAAGTAATTGGACACCTGGTCTTGCTCTTAATTAGAAGTAGGAAGGAACAAGCTCGTTTCTTGTTCGGTCTTGCGGCCTGTTGAGTACATCCGCCACTTTTCTGGCGCGCTTCGCAAAAACGCGAAGACCCCTTCGCGGTCGCTCGTATTCGCCTGTTGAATTTAATTGTGAGTAATACGAAGAGAGGGGGATGGAAAGTTTATTACGCTTACGTTGGAAAGCTCTGTGGCAAAGCTCCGGCGGCGAATGAAATGCGCGGAGCTTACACAGCAAGGCTGTCCCGATACGCGCAGTATATCTGGAAAACGTGTAAACGTCTGCGCAAACGCGAATTTAATTAAAACGTATAGATACACAAGTTTCTATTATATCTTCATTCGGCGCAAATACCGGTTCTGCGTTTCGCATAAGAAACTATTCATTTAGTCGATACGGTAAAAGCAGACCAGATTGCTTTGACGTCCTCAAAACCGCGATAAATTATGCAAACAAACTTTTAAAGTTTTTTCTGATGTCACAAAAAATCATTAATTAAATTTTAATTAATCAACTAATCTAATTGCAGAGTCATTGATTATGTAATTCAACTTTATCTTAAATTTATTCTCTGCTTGTTATATGAATTTTAGGTAAACACGTTGAGGGCGAGTATCACGTTCATGAACCTGGCGGCAATGTGAGAAGTGTAAAATATCATGCCGATCCGCACGGTGGATTTTATGCTGAGGTTCATAATTATGGCGGAAACGATCATTCGGGTGGCTCGCATGGTCGATAAGCAAAGTTACGGCACGCGAAAATTGACACCGATAGACGACTAACGAAGAAACCAAAGGTGCCTGAAAAAAAATATCGTAGGAGTGACCTGCATCTTGCGCAAATCTGATCGTAGCCATTCTATTTGTTAAATATTTATATTTCTACGTAACATACATAATTAATAAATAAATGATAAAAACTGAGAGAAATATTGTACTGTCGCAGAATAATATATTAAATATTTATAGTAAATTAGTTACAAAACCAAATAATTTCTCTTTAATGCCCACGTCTCTCTCTTGTTTCAACAGCAAAACTGCGCATAAATTGTTTAAAAATCGTGATATGAAAAAGAGTAATTTAAAACGCGACTAAAAAATTACATGGCGAAAATACATGGTAAAAAAAAGCATGATTTTTTTAGTGTTATATATAAGCTACCATGAAAACGTCAATATTTTTAATTTTAGAAATAGTTTCTCTCTTTTGCGGAATTTGCTCTCTCGGTTTTATACCGCGGTCATGTGATTCCGTTTCATCAAAATGAGCGGGACTGCTTGCTCGATTTCTGCTGACCGAATGCAGCGCGATTTGGCCGATCGCTCTCATCAGCACGCCGCAACATGTTTTTATCCAATCACGTTTCCTTCCCGCGCGCGCTCACCAATCTCTCGAGTCAGCAGCGCGACGAACCGTGGTGGTCTGGGTCCTCCTCGTGATGCCGAAAAGCGAAGGAGGAAGCGCAAAATTCGTTCGCGACACACGACTAAAGAAACGACGGAAGTCCGACGAAATTCCGTTCGTTGGAACAATTCGCGCGCGGCGAACGGAATTGCCGTTTCTATAAGGAGATCGGTTGGTCATTGTGTTACCGAGCGGGACCATGCCAATTTTGTTGCCAATTTCGTCGCCAATTTCGTTGCCCATTCCGTTCCCGGTCTCTAACGCGGATAATCGCATCGCGCAAACGCTTCGACAATTTCTATTAAGTTCTCTTAGCGGAGAGTTTAGTTGTGTATCTCCAGGCAGCGCATGTATCTCCGTCGAGATGGAAACGTTGAATTTCCTTCCGACCGGTCAGAACCGGCTAGAGCTGTGCGAAACAACGTTCCCAAGTTTGTAATCTCTTTTTGTCAAGTTTATCTTCCGCAGTTTCAACTAATAACCCGCTGATTTGTTATCACAGCTATATTATTGGTGTGACAACAACAACAACAACAAAAAAAGTTAACAAACACTTTCCTCGAGTTTCGCCAGTTCGTAAATCTTCTCATAATCTTCAGCGTCGCAAAACTAACATTGGAGCGCCAACGCTTCGTGTGAAAAAAAAATTACTTTCTATGATTCAAAGCAAAAGACGGGATTATTATCTCACTTTTCTATCAAAACACATAAACGATTTGTGTTGCGTACGGCGCGCAAAACAAACTGTTTCCAGAGCGCGTCGTTTATATAAGCGACCGCAAAGAAATAAATTTCGACACAGACAAGCTTACGCAATTCAAAGGGATTAGCCGTCTAACAATCCAATTTGAATATTAAACGAGGGTAATAGTGGCAATTCACTTTGCTGCTTGACAAATCAAAACCAGCACAAACGGCACATGGGGGAAGCAGCGTAGGTCGGACATCATTAATGCATCATACATGCACGCACATGTACGACGCAACGTTTGCGAATGCGCGCGCGTTGCGCCGGATCGATACGGTCGTTACGAAAGCAAATGGACGGATTACGAGTTGACTTGTGCGTGAAACACACACACAACCTCTCTTTCTCAGAGCAGAACTCGCAGAGTAGCTCCGAGATATAGCTTTCTGTGAAATAGCCCCGGTTGTTTCAAGGCCCCTGGTCGATGTGCACGTTTGGTCCCGCGGGAATTTCCGCGAGAAAGACTCCGGATACTGTCGCGGGAATACAACGCGACGCGGTGCACTTAGCAAATCGAATAAATTATGCTCGTTTGATTATTTCAGAAGTAAATACAGGAAATCGAAGCTCGCGAGATTTCGCAGCCGCGCAACTGCTTTCGATCGAAATGTGTCCTGTTTGTTTGTACACGTTGTTTGTCACACAACAAACGAAACACACCCAGCCTCGTGGCTATCAAAAGCTCGATTTTATTCATCGCATTTGGATATCGTCTGGTGCTGCTCGTTAATTATTTTGTCTTTCTGACGGCTGGGCTGTGCGGAGATTATGGACACGAGAAGGTTAAATCTCTGATATCAAGCGTATCAAAGTTTGGATTTCATCAGCGTTACACGTGTAACGTATTTGTTGCATAAATAGGTATTGTGTGATGCCCCGTCGCGTTGTCACAATATTGAGTATGACGTCGCAACACACTTTCCGATAATAAAGCCTGTTTATACTGCGATATCAAGTATCATAAAAGTCTCTATTTTAAATTTCACTCATAATTTCTGGTCTCTCTCTCTCTCTCTCTCTCTCTCTCTCTCTCTAAATTATTATATGCAAGTCAGACGCAGCGTCATATGAAACAATTCAGATTGTTTGTAACAAATAAACAAACCGAACACGCAAAACAAAAACGCATAAAAAATTACTTTTCTTCGCCAGGTCAAGTGGTCCATCGTCGTATTCAAATATTCGTCGTCGTGCTCTCTCGATGGTGCGCGTGTGCGTGTGAGTTCCGCTACGATCCCCAAATAAAAGTCGAACGTCCGAGGCTTTTGGGAAAAAGTCTTTCCGTGACGCAATCGATAGAGCGAAATCGATTGTTGCTTCAGCGGAACGGGGGGATCTACATGCGTCCGCTATAACGGCATTTCATCGCAGGAGTGTTCAATCTTATGCATAGGAAAGCGATTGGTTCGCGCGTTCGTGTTTTTTGTCATTCACAGGGACCGTTCTATACGTCTGCTAAATAACGGTGGCGAAATTTCCGCGGCAAAAATGTACGCTTTCGTGAGCTATATAAACTTCCATCGACACCGACAAGCGTATCATTCACGTTTAGAAATCATAGAACACATCGAAAATATGGCCGCAAAGGTTCGTACATGGAAATTGCTGCGCTTCGCTCGCACGCTTATCTGGGGTTTTTATTTTTTTTATAATTAGATTAATCAATCCGACTATATATACACATATATCTGACTATTTACTAACTAAAAGATAATAGCGAATATTGCGATTGTTTACTGATAAACAAACACAACATGAATTTTTTATGTGTTTTTTTCTGTGTTTTTCTGCCACAAGTTTTCTCTCAAATCACGGTAAACTTGTTTATCGATTCGCTCTCGTAAAGAAAATTTCTATTCACAGCCAATTGAAAAAAACCAGTTTTTTATTCAAACAACTGAATGAAGTTAAAAGAGCTATTTAATATTTCAAAAACTTTTTTATAACTGTTTCTATAGAGAAATATACGTAGATCTTTTTATATAAATTTTCTAGTGATATCAATGTTTACTCGAGCTATTACCAGCACCGCTTTTTTAATTTTTCAAGAAAATCAAGATAAATATTTCCAACGCGGTGTGACACTTGTTTGTCATCACACAATTCACTCATAATTCATGAAGAAAAAGCTTCTTATAGACATGAAGAAACGCTTCTGTTTGAAATACTGAAATTCTTTTGATTCTCCGCATGAGATACCATGTAAATGGCAACAAATTTGTCGGTAGCTTGTTCTACTGCCATTGGCTGTACTGGTCTTCGTAACTATCCAACGTGGATTGGCAGGGCACGCTCATAGTTTCGTCCACTTTCACGGACCGGTCGAAGGACCCGGACACGAAGTAGTTGTCCACGATAAGCATGGCCATCATCATGTAGACTACGTCGCGCATCCCAAATACGAATTCTCGTATGGCGTCGAAGATCATCACACGGGCGATTACCACGGGCAAAAGGAACACAGAGACGGTAAGCATTAAATTATGTTATTTTGCAAAATTGCAGATAATGCAGAATGTTAATAAGATATTATTTAAACAGTATTAAAAATATCATTGTGAGTGAATGTTATATTGTTTAATTTAAAAGATTATTTTAGTATTGAGATATATAATGTTGATTAAAATTTGTATGTAAAACTATGTAGAGTAGTTCAAAGAAATTTTTGGAAACGTTCTTGAACAATTTTATACAAACGTTGTGTCCGACAAATCTTTATAATACGTATTCAAACAGCAATAACTGAACCGCGTTTCAAATTTCATCGATATGGATTTTATGTCTCCTACATTTTTGCGTTTAACGATGCCTGATGGCGATATCGTAATTAAAAGCTAAAGGTTTGTAAATGATGGAGTTAAATATTACACAATAGTACGTTTTAGAGAGCTCTCAATTTTAATTAAATATCGCGGCAGTCATATTGACGTAGGTAGGTAACATAATATGTAGGCGTGGCGCGTACATTACCGCCACGATATCAATGACGTATCCGTATTTAATTTTGAACAATCAATACATGTGTGTACAAGCGGTCACGCCGTGAATAATGCTGAAACAACATGGTAATGTTGTGTCGATTTCCGTTTTCCGCAGGGAAAAAGGTAGTGGGCGAGTACACCATCAAGGAACCAGGCGGCAACACCAGGACCGTGACTTACCATGCTGATCCTCACGGAGGATTTTTTGCTCACGTTCATAACTCCGGCGGTAATAACCATCACGGTGGTACATATGGCGGTTATGGGCATCACTGAAGGCATCAAGAGACCCCTAAGTATGATATATGACGATAAAACGCTTAGCCATAATTTGTTTTTGTCTCCTGTTATAATTGTTGAATAAAAAAATAGTTGCTAATTTTTCAAGTTAACAGCACGTTTTGTCTTCAATCTTAAACCCAATCAGAAACTTTTTACCGAGAAATTTAAAAAAAAAAAAAAAAAAAAAAAACATTAATCACGATTTCGAGAGTTTTCAATTGGTCGCAATTATCGCAAATTATAATTTGCAGTTTTTGTTGCTAACACACGTTATTATACCATTTTGCTTTTACAATCTGGAAACGTTATTATTTTACGAAACAGCAGCGACAATTCGGAAGTGTAGGCAGACAAATAAATGGACAGATTGCGTGTATATAGGTCTATGAGCTCAATAAGCGAGCGAGGTGTTCTAAGCTTCGGTGAACACATTGGGTCACGTATTGGGACCAGCGCGATCACTATCGCACGAATAGACCAGCAGAAATTGAATTGCACTTGTGGATGCTATAGGCGACATTGAATAGCGTGTAATTTTCTATTATCGCATTTTAGAAGGTACATATTAAAGAACCGATTTGAGAAATTTAAGAGACTTACGACTGTGACAACTCGAGAGCGAAGATTTCATTCATTGCCCGTGGGATGACGTCTTATTGTTTATATTAAATTAAAGCGAGCGTTTCAGAGAAATGTAGGTAGAAACTTTGTGAATGTAAACGGCTTTATGCTTTAATCTTTACACGCGTTTAATGTGTAAATCTTTAATACAAGATAATTCGCTAATTTCACCTTCGGCAAAATTTTCTGTGCAAACATCTCACAATATAATATGATACTCCGTATCTGAAGATCGAGTTAAGAGAGAATTTCTGCAAGAGACAATGAGTTTAACTGCTTAATAAAATAACGGTAAATATTTATGCACGCGTAGACATATCTGAGACGCAATTTTAGTCCGCCCGTTTGGCTAAGCTGCGATTATAAGGATGAAATTAAGACGGCACTCTCTTTGAGCCAGAAGAGATGCTGCGCAGAGAGAAAGAGAGCATCGTTATTCCGAGAAGGGCGAGCCGAGCTTAAATGACGAGAAAGCTATCATGGCGCGCGTAGCTGCTGCCTGGCGTCAGACAACGTATTAATTTTTCAAGGCACATCAGAGGTGCGCGAGCGAAAATAAATTAACCCGCTGCATGCACCATCAACTCTCAAAGGCAACTATTTCATATCGGACGTGTAAAATATATACGACAGCTCCGCACACAAAGTGTCTAAAAGAAAATTGATTTTCTTCAAAAGAGATGTGCGTTAAAGTTTTCTTAATAAAATTATGTGATACGACAATTTACAAAAAATTGCTTGTTAAAATTTAAAACTAACAATTAAGGTCAATACCATGCCTACGTGCTGGATGTTTGAGCAATCATAAATTTATTTTCTAATTTCCCTGGGGAAGTTAGACGTAATTTAGGAAAGTTACAAATAAATTTATAATTCAAACATCCACCATATATAGGCTCGTATTAATCTTAATTGTTATTTTATTATTTAATACAATTTTTCTCTAAAAGTGCGTTCTTAAATAATTTCGAATTTTCTAATATATATATGTACACAATGTATGTGTTAGTATTCAATTCAAGGTGTAATTTTATTTAATTTATTATTTTAAAGACAAATGCGCCGTAATATAATTAGCGTAAAAATGTATTATCCGCCGAAATGCAATTCGATACTTTCGACCGGGTAATCTCGCCAACTCTGGTCGTAAATTTGCGCAAAAATCCGTACAGAAATAAATCACCGCAAATTCACGGCGTACTCTGTATATTACGCGAATAATCGTGATTGATCATACGAGAAGAAAACTCTGCAAGAGAGATGATATATGAAAACAGGGAAACGTACGGCGCGCACGTGGTTTCAATGATTCCATTTATGTGAGCGATAATACATCCAGTCTCTTCCTGTATCGAGACTCTCTTGTTTCTCTTTCCTCTTCAATTTTTTTCATACACAATTTGCTGCTTTACGCGCTCGCGCGGTTGCGGTTACAAAAGCGGGCTGCGAAAGGGATAAATAAAAAAAATTTTGCGCGTTATTTCGACTCGCAGTAAAAAAAAAAAAAACCAATAATTTTGTAACTTTGTTCTCTCCGTTGTATCTTCTTTGCGAAAAGAATATCTTTAGCGTAAAAGTTTGTTAATCTGGCCAACAAAAACTATATCGTTCTCTCTTTCTTTTCTTCTGATTCAATTTACACGGATTGACGCCATCTTACGAACACAATCTAATCTACAAGGCTGATCGCGTTGTTTGCATGTTTTGTTTTATCATCTGAAAAGAAGAGTGGTATTAGTAGGATTTACCCGAAACACGAGAGATTTCTCTTTAATGAAGATTTTGTAAACACACAACGATTAGAGCTATTTTACCTTTACATCGATTTTCTTTAAAGTTTTATCCGGTACTTATTGTCATGTAAGAAAACAAATATTTAAAAATAAAAAAAAGAAATAAATATCGTGAAATAAAAAAGACAAAAAATATGTTTTTATAAAAATATGTTATTTCTTTATCTTGTACTGTGATTATTTAATTAACACATTAACACACGCTTGATTTATTTCACAATTTTGCCTCCCTTGGGAAGCACAAAGGTGAACGTATTGCCTATGTACCTAACATAGCTTATATGTTGACGAAATTTTTTAATTCGACTCTGAGCGTCGAAGCTTAGTGCGTTATCAAGCGTGACCACATTCAGACGTCGTCACGTAATGGAGATGGGGGACGGAGTTGTCGGAAACAGCCGGTGGCAATAATGCGAGATGGACGTGATAGGGTGCGATCGATTTTCTCGATCTCGGGAGAATGGAGTTCTTATTATTCCCCGACGGATAAGGCGCTACCCAAGGTGGCGTTGTTATTCGATTCCGGCGCGACTCATTTTCTCGAATTCACAACCGTCGTTGTTGGTACGCCGTCAATTCATCCCTTGTCGTCTCTTATTTCACGAGCCTACTTTGCGGTCGTAAAAATCTACTTCAGACACGCTGGACAGAAATGAGATTATTCCGAAAGCGTCGCGTATGTACGTGTGCGCGTGTTCGTATTACAACAAATATCGAGTCCAATTATCGCAGAAAAACTTCGAAAGTCGTTAAAAAAAAAACCCCCATCAGCTTCATCACACTTATTAAAGAGCGAAAATAGGAAGTCTATTATAATATCTAGAGAATGTCGGAGAATAAACTTTCTTGATGAAATGTCAGAGTGCAAAAATTTTCTTAAAAGAATTTTTAAAATAATTTTTTGAATGTTTATAGAAGTATACATATAGCACAACGTTGAAAAAAAAAAATAAAATGAGAAGACAACACACTATGTCCGTAGCAAAAAAGTATGAAAAATGATATCGTGTGTGGTGTGATGTGGAGAAGTTTTTGCATATACACAGATTTCCTTCAAGTTTCAATTTGTCTGTCTTATCACGGACGCAGGGGAGAGCCGTTATCACGTTTCAAATCACCGTCATTCAGAAGCGAGCTGCGGCTGACTGTCGGGAGGGAAGAGTTTCACGGTTCGCCGGGTTAAAGTGCTCTTTACAAAAAGACCATTATAAATTCCATTAATACTTGCCGGGCATTCGGGCCAAGCTGGGAGTTTAATTATCCCGTGGCCAGACTTCTCCGCTCGCGCGCGCTGCTAAGTAAAGAGGGACGCTGAATTAAGTAAGACTCGATCGTCAAGATTTAACAGGTCAGCATGCAGTCCCTCGATGAAACTTACTTTCCAATTTACGATGTATATCATCTCAATTTTTTTTTTTTTTTTTTTTTTTTTTGCTATACATGCCGAGTTAACCGAGTATCATAAGTTAAGCACAATTTTTTGCACAGAGCTGAAACTTACAATTACACCGGTGTTTAATTTTTCCAGTGCTAGAACTGACGATGTTTGACGATACGAATTAACTTTTAATTACACGAGTACGGGAGGAAAAATGCGCTGGTACATACTTTTTCAACGTTCTTATTCCTCTCTTTCACCGTAACATTGCTTTTTGATATCGTATATATATGTATTTGTTTTTTGTAATATTCAAATCGCCCGCAGGCTACGCTAGTCACGGCGTGTGATAGACAGATTTGAAAGAGTTCCGTTTGAAATGGTGGATAAAAAATCGTAAGCTATTGAAATAACAGATCAAACTGTCGAACATATCAAATGGACCGCGTAACAACACGTGGACGCGCGTAACGTCAATTAGAAAATTTCGACTTTCTCCTTGCCGGAAGTACTTGAGAGCGTAGCTCTTCCTACTCGCTAATCCGAAGAGTCCGCTCTTCGTGACGCGAAGCCGGAGAGAGTGCTGTGCAAATATTGTTTATACAGTAAAAAGAAGTTTTTTTTTTTTACTTTACGACGTCTACGGTAGCAGGGTCGATGTCGAGGTAACAATTTTCTTCGGACCGCAGATTTCTCGGACGCTTTGTTTTCTTAGGATGCAACTTGATCAGAATAGAAGTTCCGAACTACTTCATTGTTCGAAGTTTCCGGCTAAGATAACGATCGGTCAGGATTCTTTCGCTACAGGATCTGTAGCTCAGGAAAGTGTATGGCGTTACGTCGACGAAACGCGAACAGCTATAAGAAACTTCTTCTTTCTCCACTTAGAAAAAAAAGAGAGAACAAATGCAAAATTAACACAATCTTTGCAAAAAAAACAAGAAGGCGATAAAACTTTGTGCATATAGAAATAGACAGATATACTTATATTTTTTATGTTTGTTTCGTACGTAAGAAAATACGCTCGAAAAACGGAGATTAATTTTTTGTATAATAATGATAAAAAATTTTTAGTTTCTTCTACGATATATATGTATTTCCTTGATGTATTTATACCGTACACTTCGTCTTGCCTTTACTTAATCAGAAACTCTTTGGTATCGAGTGACGTTTCAATTACTCGTCGACCGTCGTCGCAAGAAGAAATAAAAAGGTAAAAATTGCGAGTAGGAGCAGGG